AAAATGTCCTTATTTTGCCTTCCTTCTTGAGGAATATTTATATTAGCTATATATTGACTTTTATTTTTACTTTCAGCACTTTTAAGATGTTCACTATCATGCTTTCTGCCATTTCTGATAAGAAATCATTTTGCAGTTGATGTTCCCCTGTATGTAATGTGTTCTTTTTCTCTGGCTGTTTTCTGTCTTTATTTTAAAGAGTATCTAAGTGTGATTTTTCCTTGAGTATTATATTCACTGAGATTCACTGAGCTGCTCAAATTTGCACATTTGTTTGTCACTAAATTTCTATAGTTTTAGTAATTACTTCTTCTATGTAGTCTTTCTTCTCCTTCTGGAAATTATATATACCTATTAGACTTTTCTTAAAAATTATACCTACTAATAGGATTTATTGTGAGATTTCCCACATATGCATGCATCATGAATTGATCATGTCCAATTACCATCCTTCTGTTCCTCTTCTCGGCCCCTAGTATTACGTCTTCTATTCCAGTTCTTTGTTTTATACTTTTCCTTTTTTAGTTTTCACATTTGAGAGAGAACATTGAGTACTTGTTCTCCGTCTGGCTTATTTCACTTGACATGATGTCCTTTAGTTTCATTCATTTCAGTCTTTAAATATTATATATCATATAGTGGGCATCTAGGCTGATTCCGTATCTTAGCTATCATAAATAGTGTCATGATAAACATGAGTGTGCAGAGATCTCTTTTGTATGCTGACTTCATTTTGTTTGGATATATACCCAGTGGTGGGATAGCTGGATGATATGGAAATTCTATTTTTAGTTTTCTGAGAAACGTCTATACTGTTTTCCATATTGGCTATTCTAATTTACATTCCTACTAGCAGTGTAGAACCGTTCCTTTTTCCTCAGTCCTTACCAGTATTTGTTAAGTTTTGGTTTTTTGATAATAGGCATTCTACCTGGGGTGAGATAGTAATTCATTGTTTTGATTTGTACTTTCTTGACGGTTAATGATATTGTACATTTTTTCATGTATTTGTTGACCATTTATGATCATTTGACCATCTTTTAATTGTACTACTTGGTTTTTGTTAAAGTTTTTGAGTTCTTTATACATTCTTGATATTTACCCTTTGTTAGATGAGCAGCTGGCAAATATTTTCTCCTATTTTGTAGTATATCTGTGTTCTCTGTTGATTGTTTCTGTTGTACAAAATGTTTTTAGTTTGATGTAATCCCATTTATCAGTTTTTGCCTTTGTTTCTTTTGTATATGAAATCCTATCCAGAAAATCATTGCCTCTATCTACCAATATCTTGAACCTTTTCCCCTATGTTTTCTTCTAGTATTCTGAATTTTAGGTGTTAGAGAAGGTCTTTGATCCATTTTGAGTTGGTTTTAGTACAAGGTGAGATGTAGAAGTCAATTTTCAGTGTTCTGCATGTGCATATCCAATTTTCCCAGCACGATATGTTAAAGAGGCTGTTCTTTGTCCAGTTAATGTTTGGCACCTTTGTTGAAAATTGGTTGAGTGTAGATGTGTGAATTTATTTCTGGAATCTTTATTCTGTTTCATTGGTCTAAGTGTCTTGTTCTTATGTCATACCATCCAGTTTCTGTTACTGTGGTTCTGTCATACCTTGAAATAAGGTATTTTGATGCTTCTGGCTTTGGTCTTTTTGTTAATAATTGCTTTGGATATTACGGGTCTTTTGTGCTTCCACATGAATTTTGTGGTTCTGTAAAGAATATCACTGGTATTTTGATGGGGATTGCAGTGACTCTCTTAGAATTAGGATTCATGATCGTACAAAGGGGGTTTCCTTGTGAAAATTCTATAGATGTATACAGTGTACCTTCAACAAGTTCACCCCTTTCTATTATGTTCTCTTAACCCCCTCCACTCTTTCAAGCAGTATTTGGTGGGCTTCATCATGGTATCTTCACTCAGTCTCTGTCTCTCTCTCTCTCTGTCTCTCTCTCTCTTTCTGTAATTCCATCCTCTACCCCATACTCTCTCTCTTCCTCCTCCTGCTGATTCGCCCCGTCCCTGACAATCCTCCTTTTACACTCATATGTCCCGTTTTTATTCTTATTTTCATTTTAGACCTAGATTCAGGCATATGAGCAAAAATGTGTGATATTTGGATTTTCGAACTTAGTTTTTTTCACTCAGTATGATTGATCTCCAGTTCCTGCAAATGATAGAATTTTGTTTTTCTGTATGATCAAATAATACTGTTTCATATGTATATTTATATATACATACACCACATTTTCTTTTACTCATTCATCAATTGTTGGACACCTAGGATGATTCCACAGCTTGGCTACTGTGTGTAGTGTAAACATGGATGAGTATGTATCTCTTATACGTTGATTTATACTTCTTTGGATATATGCTCAAAAGTGGTGTATCAGTCAACTCCCTGTATAGCTATCCTTATCTCAACCAGCAAAAACCCTTGTTCCTTTCTATTATTGCTTATACTCTCTCTACAACAAAATTAGAAATAAGGGCAAAATGGTTTCTGCTGGGTATTGAGGGAGTGGAGGGGTAGGAATGGGGAAGAGTGGGTGGTAAGGGAGGGGGTGGGGGCAGGGGGGAGAAATGACCCAAGCCTTGTATGCACATATGAATAATAAAGAAAAAAAAAGTGGTGTATCAAAGTCAGAAGGTGAGTCTGTTTTTAGGGATTGCAGTGAATTTGTAGATCCCTTTGGGTAGTATGGACATTTTAATAACATTAATTCTTCCAATCCATGAACATGGGAGGTCTTTTCTACCTTTTAGTGTTGTCTTCAGTTTCTTCAGTGCTTTGTAATTTTCATCGTAGAGGTCTTTCATTTCCTTGGTCAAATTTATTCCTAGGTATTTTTGTGTGTGTGTGTGTGTGTGTGTGCGCGTGCACACATTTTGAATGGGATTGCTTTCGTGATTTCTTCATAGCAAATTCATCATTGGTGTATAAAAAATACTTATTTTTGTTTGTTGATTTTGTATACTGCTACTTTACTGAAATAATTCATCAATTCTAGTAGTTTTTTTGGTGGAATCTCTCATTAAGCCTTTTTAGACTGTCTCACAGCTTTCGGATACTGGCTTTTTTTCATCTTTCTTTTGTTCTTCATATTGGATAATTTCTACTGATTCAATTTTTTAGTTTATTGATTGTTGCTCATCTCCATTCTCTTGTAAAACCCATCCACTGATTCTTTTTCTTTTAGAAATTGTATTTTTTGAGTCTAAAATTTTGACTTTGTTCTTATTAATAATCTTCTGAGATTTCCTTTACTATGTTTTCATTCAGGTGTTGTTTGTTTCATGAGTGTAATTATAATAGCTATTTTAAAATCTTTGTTTCATAATTTGAGTATCTTCATCTTCTTGGAATGGACATCTGTAGATTACCTTTTCTCTTGACAATAGGCTACATTTTCCTGTGATTTATATGTAAGGTCATTTTGAATTATATCCTGGACATTATGTATATTATCTTTGACAGACTGAATTCTGCTTTAATTTTCTGTAGAACATTGATATTTTAATTTTAACTGGCACTAATTGTGTTAGGCTCTCTCATGTTCTATGCACAATGCTTCCAATTTGAATTGGGTTCTTTAAGCTCTGATTTAATCCTAATTTGTATCTGAATGGCTCAAGGGTAATTCTGAGGCTTTTGTGGGGTTTCATACTCAGGATCCTGGGATCTCTTTTGGATCTCCCACCCTCACTCCCATGGGAGTCCCTTCTCTCTTTGGTGGCTGACTCTGTTTATCTGGGCTCTTTCTCTAGTGCCTTTTGACAGAAAGACAGCTTTAGCTGCCCACACTTCATAGCTACTGCTTAACCTTGGGGCAAAGAGGCAGCAAAATAGGAAATTTACCAACCTGCTGATCTCTCCAGTTTTGATTTCTGTCCACAATCTGTCTATATTATTTGTTCTTCAGAGTCTGGAGGTAGCTGTTTTTTTCCTCACCACCATATTTTGTAGTTGCTGATAACAGAATTGGTCTACAGAGGTATTATACTGCCTTACTAGAAGTAGAACTTGAGTAGGTGAGGTTGACTCCAGAAAGGACCTTTCAGAAACTGACTGGTACCATCTAGTTTAGATTCATCGATGCTGTCTTTGTCCAGAATTTGAATTTATGGCTGTTGTAATAACAGTTATCCAAATACATTCTGCGTTGTATTTCTAATTAGACTTCCTGTTGCCTATTAATAACAGTCAGTACTCCTGCAAATAAAAATGTGTACTATACTGTTGAGACCGTCTAAGCATTTAAAGAGAGTACCCTTTACTCTTTTCATTGAAACAAATAGAACAATATGAACAATAAAACTGGGAGGCTTAAACCAGAGAGCTTTCTTTCTTGGTCAGTTAAAAGTCCAAACTGATAGACTTGGTCCAAAGAATAGGTAGCTCTACACCACAAGGTCATTCGGATGTCCAGATTCCTTGTAATTTTGTTTTTCCAGTGTTTCCCAGGGTATTACCTTCAGCTTTACAGTTAACCAAGACCACTACCACCATATGTATTCTAGCTTGTAATAAGAGCAAAAGAGAGATTGCAGGACAAGCAAGTTCCTTTCAAAGACATGTTGCAGATGTATCACTTGCTCATATCCTTCTTAGCCACACATCAGTCACATTGTCACAGCTGCAAATGAGTCTAGGGAAGGTGGCCTTTATCTGGGCAACGAGTAGATAACTATCGAGTTCTGTTATTAAAAGGGAAAAGGGAAGAGTGGATATTAGAGAACCATTAGCAGCCTCCACTACAGAGGAGGATTTGCCAGCCAGTCTGAAGCCCATTAAAAGAGTTGTTAGGGAATAGCCATACAGTGAACTTTGTGTTATAAGGTCAGCATACTAAAATATAGTAGAAAGGATTTCAGAAGCTATTTTATTTTCATAAACAAAGCACAAAACTGAATGTTAGAGAGTTCAGAATCCCTTCAAACTGTGTTACAATTGCTGGATATATGAGCTAATAATTATTTATTTTGTTCTTGTATTTTAGGCCTCAACTCCATATAGCATAGATTCAGATTCTTTGGGAATGGAGTGTATTATATCGGGAAGTGCCTCTCCAACTCTGGCAATCAACACTGTGACTAACAAAGTAATTCCATTTTTTAAACATTTGTGAAATGTCCTTAAGTAATATATTTAATTTGCTTTTATAATGATAATAGAGTTCTGTATGGTCAAGTTTAAAGACGATATAAATTTGCTTACTCTATACATGGTAGTTTGAAAGCTAGATCCAGAATCTTCTGGATGTATGCACAAATTAGAAGAAAATATTTCTCAGGAGAAATTGGAAGGTGCTTACTGGGAAGCTGTACTAATTTAAATTCTTGACTCTGCCCTTTCCCACTGATAGAATTTCTGAGCCAGTATTTTATTGAATTGATTTGTTTTAAGACCTCTCTAAGTATGTGGTTGGAAAAAAGATTGTTGAATTCTAGGGAGTTAACAAAATCCAGTAAAATAAATAATGTGAATAATTTGGACAACCTCAGTGAGTTCATTGGAATGGTATCAACCTATATTTATGATATCCAAGTCCAGGAACATAACCAGAAACTGTATTTGATAGTCTGCTGCATTTTTTGGAATGCTAGGTCTTTGTATTCATGGTGGGATACAAATAGCTCTTCTTTAAAAGTAATTTCTTAACCTCGTATGTCAGTTAATTTAGTTTTGTACACCAATATCCTCCCCGACCAGACCGTGAATACCTTGAAGCCATGCACCTCTCATACTCGTACTCACACTCTTTTTCAGTCTTGATCTCACTTTGTCCCTCCAGCTTTTACCCTTTCTTCCTCTTTCTGGCTTTTATTTGCATTATTTTTACCTGTCACTGTCCCACTTTATCATGCATACACACACACACACCATTGTACTAATACAGTATTCATAGGATCTCTTTGTAGAAAGATAAGCATAAAATAAATTTATAATCCAATTAATATAATCAGATTTCCAATTTGTAGAATAATGATTTTTCCCACATGGCAGACTGAAATGATCACAATCACTTAGGAATGGGGAATATTTAAGTGTGTTTGCTGTTGGTAGTGGCAATCCCAGGATTCCAATACAATCCTAAAAACTTAGTTACTCTAGCCTTGTGAATAGGACCTAGAAAGCTATACGTCTAAAAATCATCTCTGATGATAGCAGCTAAACTGTAAAATTTTTGAAGTGGATATTTCAGAATCAGAAATCTCTAATACTGTTCTTTATAGTAACCTGTAAGAAATGCTGAGAGCAATAGCATAGACAACTGTAGTTACTAGAAAACAATTAGTAAGTGGTGATGCTGGGACTTTATGACCAAATAATGTCATGACTTAAGGAGCTAGAATTTTTGGACTTCTTTCAGATATGATGAGATAGCTCCTATCATACAAACATATGTATGAAATACCCCTCCTCCTTCACTTACATGCATACACACAAAAAAAGAAGAGGGAGGAGATATTGGAGGCTAAGTTAACTAAGATTTCAGAGGTGAGAATCCCTGAGAAAAGGCAAATACATTGAGATCATCTCTGATTTTCCTTTGGTACATTTCCTAATTCTCAGATTGTGGCATAGAGGCCAGAGGGCAGCAGTCTGGAGCAGTCATTGAGCTAGGGAGACAAAAAGTATTTTGGGGGCCACAAAGTAGCTAGGGCTTGAGGAGATAAGAGCTCATGAGTGAGTTCAGCTTTTTGTAAATAGTATCTACCTTAGGCATTTGCTAACTCCTGAGTCTGTGTGTTTGGGCTCAGACACAATGAAAGTAGATTTTCACTAACCAGAATTTATCAGGCTTACAGAATAGGGGAGAAAAAAATTATAGTTCATGGTCTTCAAGAAGGAGAAATCCATGGTAAATACTCTACGGTATGAAGTTACCTGAGAATGGTTTTGTTCCATGAATAAGAACAAATCAAAATAGACTAGCCTCAACTGTTTGTAGACTGGAATGCAAATATTCTTCTTGTAAGAAGAAAAACTAAATTCTGTTTGGAGGAAGAGAATATCATCCAGAGCTTTTGTAATTTTTCATAAATTAATGATCAACATTCCACTTTGAACCACTGCTCTAGGTTTCTAAAAAATAGTAAAAAGAATATGCAGGTGTAAGGAAAAGTAAGTCTTTGACCAATACAGGAGTAAGGAAGAAGAGAGAGGGAAAGAAAGAAGAAACAGGAGCAAAGGAAAAAAAATAAAATATTTAAATCTAATTATAGTAGGAATTATATAAAATGCAAATACTCAAGATTCAATTTAAAACACACTGATTATCAAACTGGATGAAAAAAATCAATTTTTTGTGCCGCTTATAAGGGATATATCTTAAGTGAAAAGACACTAAAAAGTGTTTTATTATGAAGAGGTCATTTTGATGAGAAAATATAATAAATTTGTATACACCTAATAACATATCCTCAGAAGTTGACAGGACTAAAGGAGAAATGGACAAATCCTTGATCATAGTGGTAATTTTGACAGTCTCTCTGTAAGCTCAGAGAACAAGCAGACCAAAATCAAGGCAATAAACAAAAAATCCCATTAAAGTTATAGAAGTTTTGAAGCACAAAATTAGGAAAATTGGCTCAATTGACTTACAAACAATGCAACCCAAAAGTTGCAGAATATATACTTTTATATACATAGAATAGTTACCAAAGTTAATCATACACTATTGATCTGTGTTAGACAACAAAGAAAATCTCAACAAATTTCAGAAGACTATTGTCATACAGAGAGAATACATTTTTCTAATACAGTGAAGGATAGAAGTCATAGCAAAAGGATAATCAGAAAATTACTCCAAAATTTGCAAGCTTGCCTGGCTTAGCATACATGTGGCCCTGGGTTCATATGTCAGCACCACAAAGGAAAAAGCAACCCAGGTCAAAGAAATATAAAAATTAGAAAATATATTGAATCAATGAAAAATACAAGTATGATACGTTAAAGACTATTATATGTTGGGCTGTTATAGTGGCTCAAGCAGTAGAGTGCCTGTAACAAGCCTGAAGCCCTGAGTTCAAACCCCAGTAGCACACACATGGAAAAAGACTATGATGTGTAAAGTGTAATAGCCTTAATTGCATATATTAGACTAAACAAAGGTTAATGATTTAAATGTCTAGAAAAAGAGTAGCAAAGACAGTTCCAAAGAAGGAGGAAGATGTTAATAAAAATAAGAGAAGTCTGTGAAGCAGAAAGTTTGTTCAATAATGAACAAACGAGAAGGTCAAAGACATTTAATACAAAAGTATATGGATGAAACAAGGTAAAAAATCATGGTAGCTGACATCCAGTAAAAAATTACCAGGCAGAGACCAGTTGTGATGCAATTTACTGGGTTGTGGCAGGAGGACTGTTAGTTAGAGACTGGACTTGGCTACCTGGTAAGTTCAAGGCCAATCTGGGCTATATAGTGAGTTGACCTTGTCTCAAAAAAACATAACAACTACAAAAGTTACCAGACAGGTGAAGAAGAAGCAAGAAACAATCTATAATGTGGAGAAATCAGCAATCAAAACTAACCCAGAAATGACACAGATGGTATAACTACTTTAGAAAAGAACATTAAAACAGTTCTGACTATTTCATGGAAAAGCTAAAACACATGTTGAACATGTTGTATAGACACATGGAAGATATAAGAAGCACAAATGCTGGAGTCATTATTCACAGATGACATAATTGTTTACATAGAAATTCAAAAGAACCTACAGATAAAGTCTTAGAATTTTAATAAGTAAATTTAATAAGGTCTCTTGATAGAAGCTCAGCATTTGATTTTAGAAAAATCAGTTGTATTTCTCTATACTAGCCACAGACAGAAAATTAAAGACAATATTTATGTTAGCACTCAAAACATCATTTACCTAGGACTAAATGAAAGATGAACTCTACCTGGAAATCTATTACAAATTACTGAGAAAAAAATATAACTAAATAGATACACTTTTCATGCAGAAGACTATTATAAAGAAGTCAACTTTTCCTGAATTAATGTTCAGGTTTAATGTAATCCCAGTGAAAATCCTAATATGCTTAAGGGAGGAGTTGGGGGAAGTAGAAAATGACAAGCTGACACAAAAATGTAAATGAGAATACAAGTAGCCAACAGTAGTTGGAGATAATTCAGAAGAAAAAGATAAGGAATAAATTTATTCTTCCAAGTATCAAGAGTAAGCCTACTATAATTGAAGCTGTAGTATTGACACAAGAATAGACACATCTTTCGAGCAGAATTCAGTAATGTCTTTCAATAAATGGTGTGATATGAATGGAAAAAATTATTAGAAAATGAATTTTAGGTGGATCTGAGGCCTCAACATAAATGATAAAAGAATAAAATTCTCAATTGGACAAAAAAAGAATATAACGATTTAAAAAAATAGAAAGAGGGCATGATAAAGATTAATGCAGTAGAAAATAATACTTTGTGAAAAGGAAATCATGTATTATATGACTCCATTTATAATTAGCTCAGAAATAGGAAAACCAATCAATATTGATAGAAGCCCATATATAGTGATTACGTAGAATAGGAGATTTTGGAATGAACAGCTGACTTTGGTAATTAGGAAGAAGATGACTAGGACTCCTGGAGCTCTGTGATGTACTGTATCAACAGTTGTCAAATCGTTAGTCCGTAGATGCCTGGGTAACTGATAGCTTTGTAGGGGGACCATAAGATCAGACTGTTCTCATTTTATATTTGTATTTTAACTGGTGTGGCAAAAACAATGGTGTGTAAACCTGCTGGTATCTTAGCACATTCAAGGCAATGACACTGAAATGTACTAGTATTTTCATTTGCTACAAATCTTGTTTTTAAAAAAGTGCTAGTTCTAAGCCAAGCATGGTGGCTCACACTTGCCTTTCAGCTACTTGGGAGGTAGAGATCAGGATTGCAGTTCAAGGCCAAAACACAAAAAGTGGTAGACCCATCTCAACAACAGCAAAAGCTAGGCATGTGGTATGTGCCAGTCATCCCATCTATGCTGGAGGCACAAGTGGGAAAATTGCAGTGCAGTCTGGCCCTCGGCAAAAACTGGAAACCCTATCTGAAAATAACTAAAGCATAAAGGATGGGGTGTGTGGCTCAAGGGATAGAGTGCCTGCGTAGGAAGCATGAGGCTCTGAGTTCAAAAAGAAAAGTAAACAAATTTTGAAGGAAGGAAGGCCAGTTTTATGTAGGAATACCTTTGGTAAAGTACTTATGACCATTCACTACAGGTTTTTTTTCAGTGTTCTGTGGGATGACTTGAACAGAATGCATAAAAGGAGATCTTGCATACTGAAGCACAATGTTTGTGATTAAGTTGGAAACTATAATGTTCATGAATCGTAGTAGTTGACAGTGATTATTTATTTGGCTGATTTTTTTGGCAGTACTGGGATTTGAACACAAGACCTCATGCTTGCTAGGCAAGAGCTCTGTCACTTGAGCTATACCTACAGCCCTTTCTGCTTCAGTTTAATTTTCAGATGTCAAAATTTTGCTTAAGGCCAGCCTCAGATCACGATCTTCCTACCCCTGCCTCCCAAGTAGCTGAAATTATAGGCGTGCTCCACCAGACATAATTTGTGTTTTGAGATAGGGTCTTACTAACTTTGCCCAGGCTGTTGGCCTATATTTTCTTAGAGAAATAAACAAAAGCAATCTGTCACTTTAAGGGAAAGTTGACAGCATCTATTTTCTGTGTTAAAATTTGAGCTTTTAAGCAAAAAAATAGAATTTTGAGGAACTCCACTATAATGAGTCTAATAGCTTACCAGTATTTAAAAAGATATTTTTTTTACATAAATGAATGCATTTATAAATAGTTGAATATCTAAATAAACACATAACATAAATGAATGAAAGAATGCATAAATTAAAAAGATATTTCTAATGAGATCGGAGTAATGTTAACAAGTGGTTTTTTTTTTTTTTTTTGCTGTTGAACTATGAAATGTGTCAACATTTAGAAGTTTATTATAGTAACAGAAATCGTTATTTTCCAAGTGACCAATGCATATGGATCAGGCCTATAGTCCTAACTTCTCAGGCAGAGATCAGGAAGATTACAGTTTAAGGCCAGCCTGAGCAAAATGTTAGCAGGGTCCTGTCTTAACAAATAAGCCAGGTGTGGTGGAGCATATTTGTAATCTCAGACTTGGGAGGCTGTAGGTGGGATAATCACTGTCTGAGACTGGTCCAGGCAAAAACACAAGACCCTGTCTGAAAAATAGCTAAAACAAAAGAGTCTGGGGGTGTGGCTTAAATAGTAGAGCCTCTGCTTAGCAAGCTCAAGCCCCTGAGTTCAAACCCCAGTATCACCAAACAAACAGACAAACAAAAAACAAAGGACTATTGGGCATTTATAATCATAGCTACTTGGGAGGCTGAGATCTAGAGCATCATGGTTCAAAGCTAGACCAGGCAGGGAGTTCGGGAGACCCCATCACAACCTATACCTGGGCGTGGTGGTGAGTGCCTATCATCCCAAGCAATTTGGGAGGCTGAGATTGGAAGGATTGTGGTTCCAGACCAGCCTGGGCAAAAAAAAAATTTGAAAGACACCCCCCACCCCATCACAATGGAAAAAGATGGGATGATGGCTTGTGGCCTGTTGTTCCAGAGATGGCAGGAAGTTTAAAATTGGTCCATGATTGTGGTCCAGGCTGGCCTGGACAAAAAGCAAGACTGAATCTCCAAAATATCCAGAGTAAAAAGGGCTGGGGGGTGGGGGGGAGTTGTGTGGCTCAAGGGGCCTCTTTGCGTCTCTCTCACAAGCATAGAGCCCTGAGTTGAAACCCCCAGTACCACAAAAAAAAAAAAAATGTTGAATAGTGGGTTTTAAAGGAGCACAGTTTAAAATGTTTATTGCCATGCTTTCACATTCCACATGGCGGCTCTTGTTTAAAAAGTTACTACTTGTATGTTTTGCTGTGCTATCAAAGAAGACTATCCACAGTTACCCAGTTTATTGAAGCATTGCTGTCTTTACCAAGTTTGCTTTCTATGCTTCTGCTCAAACAACACATTGCAACGGACTAATTGGAAGCAGCTTTGAGAATCTGTTTCCTATTTAAGCAGGCATTGAGACTCATAAAAATGTAGAGCAGTATACCACTCTTTCATTTTACTTATTTATTGGGGGGAATTTGTATCTTAATATGTAATAGGGTTTGTTACTATAATCATAAATTATAATATATTAAGTTTCATTGTTTTAAATGAATTGCTTTTTTATTGTGTTTTATTTTTTTGGTACGGTGTTTGAACTCAGGGCCTCATGGCAGCTAGGCAGATGCTCTACCATTTCGCCTGCCCTTTTTACTGTGGGGGGGTAGGAGATATTTTGAGATAGGATCTCTCAAAGTATTTGCCTGAGCTGGTCTCGAACTGTGTTCCTCTTGATCTCTACCTCCCTGGTAGCTAGGATTATAGGTATGAGCCACTGATGCCCAACTTAAATGAATTAGATTTTTAAAATTTAAGTTTTAATTTCTAATATGTCAGTCATTGATAGGCATATCAATATAAACAAAAACTTCCTGGCTCCTTAATTTTTGAGACTTTTTCAGGGGTGTAAAATAAAAGTTTGAGAATTGCTGTTCTTTACTTTGATTTGGTAGTGATCACATAGGTATGTCCATTTTGAAATAAAATGTGTGCAATTTATTCTCTTTTACATTTCATTTTAAAAATGTTGATCCTATTTCTAAAACAAGTTAAGAGAAGTTGTCCAAAATGATAGAGAGTATTTCTGGCTTGAATGATAAATGATTGAGCATGGACAGGAGAGAATGAGCAATTAAGAAAATAATTTGTTGATACTGTTTTCTAGCTTTTTAATTATTTGTAGGGGCCCATAAAGCTGATTTTGATGAAATTTGCATTGAAAGTGTTAACCAGAAAAATCTTTCCTAGAATTTTCTTTATTCCTTCATATGATTTCTTATACCTTTTTCCTTGGGTGATTCCTTGGCAATTATTTCTAGCTAATATTAATGTGAAACAGTTTAGTTTTCACCTTGAGTATAGAGACATATGCCTAGTTTTCCATGTATTCAGCCTCTTGGCAAATGTGAGCATTGAGCATAACTCTATTTTTAGTATAGACAGAAGGATGGTCAGTTGGTTACTAAATTCAGCAAATATTTGTTGACTGTATCCTGAGCAGAAAGCACTATACTGTTTGTTTTTACTTATTGGGAATGCAAGAAGGTAACAGTCTACTAATGGATAAAAATTTGCTATAAATAAAACCAAATGTATTAATTGTTCTCGTAGAAGTAGGAAAGAAAAGTTGGTAGCAGAACTTGATCAGTTCCTTGAAAGACAGTTAAGGGTATTTTTCTGTTTCAGAAATACCCTCCCCCATCCCCAATTTTTGGTTTCTAGTTCAGAGTTATAATGTTTATTATAGACAAACTGAAGCACTAAAAACACACCTTAAAAGTCTACAGGAGTTCCTTAGACCCTGCCAGTTAACTACATGTAATGTGTATATCAGCATATTATTTGTAAAAGTTAGAAAAGTTAGGTTATATATCTGTGACTTTATGAATATGTTGAATAGATACATTCCCAGTTTTCAGCATCATAAGCACTATGATGCATCTTTTTTTTTTTTTGATACTGGGTTTTGAACTCAGGGCTTCACGCTTGCTAGGCAGACCCTCTACTACTTGAGTCATGGTGCCAGCCCTTTTATGTGTTGGGTATTTTCAAGGTAGGATCATGTGAACTATTTGCCTGGGCTGGCTTCAAACTGTGGTCCTCCTGATCTCTGCCTCCCAAATAGCTAGGATTACAGGTGTGAGCCACCACAGACCAGCTGTTTGTGATTTTTAATCTAGTATTTTTTGCTTGTATACTTTTTTGATGCCTAGTTTTGCTTAAAGCTTAAGCAAAAATAAATTTATGCATTTTAGAAATATTTAACAGTAAAAATCTATAATCTTCTCTTAGTAAATGTGTATTAAACTAATCATACCTAATAAGTTGAATTTAAATACTTCTAGACACATGTCTTTTAGTTTGAAAGCATTGAGAAAATTATTTCATGGTGAACATGGAATTAGTACTAAGTACCATGGAACTAGGGATGAATGCCAAAGGAAAAACCACTGATTTTTTTTTGCAGTACTGGGGCTTGAATTTAGAGCCTACATCTTGCCCTTTTTGTGTTAGGTACTTTCAAGGTATGTCTCGCGAACTATTTGCCCAGCTACTTGCCCAGCCTGGCTTCAAACCATGATTCTCTTGATCTCTGCCTCCTGAGTAGCTAAGATTACAGACATGAGCTGCTTGAGCCCAGCTAAACCACTGATCTTTTGTCTTCTTGCCATATGCTTGCTTGGTTGTATTTTTGTAGACTTACTTTTAAATAAAAGTACTGTATTAGAGAAACGGCTTACTCAGTTGCTTTTCTTTTCATTCTAGGTAACATTGTACAACACGGATCAGGATGGTAGTGATAGCCCACGCAGTAGCCTTAACAACAGTCTCTCTGACCAGAGTTTAGCATCTGTTAATTTGAATAGTGTTGGAAGTGTGCATAGTTACACACCGGTAAGTCTTGGTGAAGTTAGCTTTTTCGTTGGATATTCATTTAGTGCTATATAAACCAACTGAAATGCAAATAAAAAATGAATGCCTGGATTTCTCACTAATCAGTTCATCAGCTTAGTAAATAGAGCAGACTTTTACTTTGATAGAGTGTTTTAATTTGCTATTTTCCCTTTATGTATTTACTAGACAATTATTTGTGTGTGAATGTGAGACAGTTTAGTCTTACCTTGAGTATAAGGATACAAATATATGTTGCATATTTTGATCACTTTATCCTTTGTCTAAGTGAAAAATAATTAGAGTAGAGAAAAAAATTGTCCTTTATTCTAAGGGAGCCATAGTTTATATTTTATGCTTCTGGGGAAAAAAGCTTAGAAGATGTATGTGTTAACTTGTTTTCCAACTTTAGATCTGAGAAAATGATTCTATAAACCCCAAAGTTAGGGTGACCTGGTATCCAGTTCTTAGCTACTTATATTTTTTTAGTTTAGCCTGGGAAACAAGCTATGAAACCTGTATATAACTATTCTTGCTCCTTTTATCTGACACTTTTTTTTTTCCAAACAATCTGACTATTACCCTTACCAATGGGCAAAGAACAAAGCCCAAGACTGAACATCACACTGTTCATCAGTGTAAATTTGATCTCACCAGTTACTTCCTGTTCCTTAATGAGTAAATAAGAAAAAACCCACAGAAGACAAAGATACAAAGGGAGGGACCTGAGAACAGAAAATAACACAAGGGAAATAAAAACTTAGAGCAGAATTAAAGTTCATGTTGAATGTAAGAAAAAAGAAAGTTGACTCTGCAAAACTGCTCTAAGTGCTCTGGAAAAAAAATTTCTCAACGCAGAAGAAACAGAAAAGGAAATAAAAATCACATAAAAGAAGAGCAATATGGAGAACTAAGAGTTATAGGTGTCCTGTAGAAGAAATCAGAAAAGTTGGTACAGAAGCAGTTTTCAGAAGTAACAGAGATTTAAAAGGAGGTCTAGGAAAAATTGAGTAAAAAGCCTACACTTAGAGACATTATAGCAGATTTAAAACTTTCAAAAGGAATTGCCCATGTAAATTCTCTGGCAGAAGAAATATGTTACACATAAAGAAACAAATCAGACTTCAGTAATACTAAATATCTGAAGAAATGAAACATGATACAGAGTTCTCAGGGACTAGGTTTGGAATAACAAAAGTTAAGCTCATCCAAATTGTCATTTATATTTGAAGGCCTGGTGTGGATGATACACACTCCCAGCATTCTCAAGGCTGAGGCCAGGAGTATTGCAAGCTGGATTTGGAGTCCAGCCTGACCTGCATAGCGAGACCCCATCTCAAAACAAACAAAAAACCGATGTTCTTTGATATGTATACAGGTCTTCCTGAAAAAATTATAGTAAACCTATCTTATTTGCAGATTTATTACATGTGGTTTTGACTAAGCGTGGTCAAATAAAAATTTTCAACTCTGACGTGCACATTGCACATAAATCAGTAGCATCAATTGTGTTTTAAATTGTTGTGTGATCTGAGTGTTTCCCTGCCCTTAATTTTGTGAAAATGTCTCTAAGAAAGCAAATGGTGCCCAAAAAAGCAAGGTAAAAGTTAATGTGCTTAATGTAAGTAAAAATTTTAAATTTGTTGAAAGGTGTCATGTCTTCAGTGGAAGTTGGACAGTATCATGGGAAAAATGAATCAAGCATCCAATACAGTACTGAACTCTATGCATCTTGAACATTCGTGATTTTCCCTCAATGATTATATCCTTGGAATCATGGATTCGCAGATACCAAGGAACTATGTAGTCTTCGTCCCTCAGTGGGGGATTGGTTGTAAGACTACCTCTCTCCCTGCCTTGTAGATGCAAAAATCAGATGATGCTTAAGTCCCTTATATCAAATGATGTAGTGTTTGCACGTAGCCTCCGTGCATCCTCATATGCTTTAAAATAATCTTTAGATTACTTACAATACCTAATACAATGTAGATGTGATATAATAGCAGTTATACTATATTAATAGTTCAGGGAATAATGACAAGGGAAAAAATCTGTTCAGTAGAGACACAGGTATTTTTTTTCCCTCTGAATATTTTTGACTTGTGATCGGTTAATATGGAGGGCCTAAAATTAAAGACTTGATAATGATGTTGTGCAAACTAAACAAACGTTTAATGATTTTAAATAGCTTTTAAAAAGTGTAAAAAATTCAAGCCCAATAGAAATCCAAGAACAGAGTTCAATATCACAAGATATAAAAAAATAAAAATTAAAGAAGCATTTATAGAGGTAGGTGACAGAAGTAAGAACTAACATGTCTTTTACATATGTGGGTTAAATTCCCCTATTGAAAACTACACATGTAGTCCACTATTTTTCATTTAACAACAAGATGTCGAATAGTCAAGTAGTTCTTAAGCAACAGGGCAGTGGCTGCTGCTGGTTGGGCTTATCACATATCCATAGATTGAGTCTGGAAGGACAATGAGACCACATGGAATAAAACAGTTTCATTACTTATATATACTAAAATCTAATTAAGACTTTTAAGTATATAATCTGTATGAGTAATACACAGTATAAGCCAGGTGAGCATGGTATCAGTCCCTTGTATTTCACATGACAGTACCAAACCAGAAGATCTACATGACAGACTCCACACAAGTAGTGGATCACTCTGTAGTGGAGGAACAGATTCCATACTACATCTAAGCAGTTTTATGAACTGCAGCTATACTCTGTCTGAAAGTGAAGCAGAAAGTTAGATCCATGACTCACTGAAACTGGGAAGCAGATGAGAAACATGGAGAAAAGCTGTCCCATGGCTGCCTCACACAATTAGGAGGGCAAATGAGAATTTGCTCTTCATAAGACCAGTTGTCATCCCATGTTCCAAAATAATCACAAGGTGTTCTACCAAGGTGAGGTCATTCTGTCATTGAGCCCTGCCTGTGTTTTCTGTGTGGTGATGTGTAAAATCACCAGTACCAGTGGTGTAGCCATTCCCCTAATATAAAATTCATATTTTCCTATGCTTTTGCACTCCTTATGAGCATCATTTTAAATGGCTATGTAAATTTTCAGTGAGTGTTCAGACCTTAATTTTCAAAATACTAAACAAATGGTAGCTTTCTGCCTTTTCATACAATCTTTAAGAAATACAACTGTCTTTTACTAATCTTATTTTTCAGGTGTTTTTGTTGTTTCCCTTCTTCTTGTGTAGCTCAAGGTCCTAATATATTGTCTCTTCCTTGGGATCTCTTGGGTTTTTTGTTCATTTTCTATTTTGGGTTTTGGAAGGGGGGGTGCATAGGAAGAAGATACTGGGGATTACACCCAGGAGTGTATTATACATGTTGGCCAAGCCCTTTGCCACTGAGGTACAACCCCAGTCTGTCTTTTGGCTTTTACTTCTTCATTTTTTATTTCTCTTCAGTTTCTTTCCTTTTAAGAAAATTTCTCTAGAAATGAAGAGTACTGCTTTGGGCAGTGCCACGTATCTGTTGACCATACTCACAGTATTTGAACTTTTATAGGAAAAGGTGAATTGAAGAACTGCCTGCAATGTTAGTAGTTTTATAGTATGGTACAGTTTGGGATGGAATTCTATAGAAATAAAAATGAAGACTGCAGAAAGTAGGATTCAGGCCCTAACTCATTGCTTAATTGTATCATCTTCAGCAAGTCATTTAGCTTCTTTGGATTCTTTACCCTCTTCTATGAACGTGGAAGTTGGATTAGATTTCTTTGGTTCTCAAGATCCACAGTAATGATTTTTCTCTTTGTGTACATAAAATTGTATCCGGGTAGAGGATGGGAAAGCCACAGACAGGTTATTTCTTTTGGATTCCAGCATTGACACTAAAATACTTTAAGTTATATATGTGATGTAACAGACCAATTGTAATACAGAGCCATTGAGTTCTTTGTGTTTTCTTTTGTTAGGTAACAAATCATCCAGAACCAGTCTCTCAGTCACTAACTCCTCAACAGCAGCCACAGTACAACCTTCCAGAACGAGACAAGCAACTACTCTTCACAGAATATAATTTTGAAGATCTTAGTGCCTCATTTCGGAGCCTTTATAAGTCAGTTTTTGAGCAGTCACTTAGTCAACAAGGTGATTTTTTTAGTATCTCTTTTTGTAACAAATATTTATTTTTAAATGTTGTTTTAACTATTTTCACACATCAACTGATATACTTCCTTAATTTGAGAACACTGTCATGATTAGAGTTGGATAATGACACCCTTTGTGCCTTTACTGTGTCCTGTATATATTTATACTATAGCACAGGAATGGCAAATTAATTTCATCTTGCATCATTTCTATTTTACTTGATTACTAGGGTGTCCTGGAACACTGTTGAAGAATTCTGACACTGCATCTATGCCATGTGGGAAAAACAGCCATGATTAATTAGTGATGTTTGAAACATTTGAGTGGTGTATATTGCACCACAAGAATAGATGGGACATGCTTTTGGTATTAACAAAGAGGTAGCTTCAGAATATAGTAACACCAGGTTGGTGATAGTATGTGTATCATTTATAAGCGGTATCACTTATATGTGTATCTGTTAGCTAGTGTTAAGTTCTGGGTCATTAATTGCATACAGCATACTTAAATCAGATTTTAATTCTAAAAGTAATTTTAGTTGAAATGCAGTGTTAGGTCTCAACCTAAGAACTATTATTTTATCTTACTGTTTCACCCCTAAATGCACTCTTCTATGTCTAACTCCCAAACAAGTTTTAAGATTCTTTCAGTACACTCAAGGACAATTTTGCTGTTAATAATAAGTATGAGAACAATTTTATCTTTGCTGAAAAGTTTAATTCCTTTATTGACTGACACTGTTTTGTGGAATTTTTTTTCATAAAAATTAAGGTTTTGAAATCAGGACCTCATGTTTGCTAGGGAGGCACTCTACCACTTGAGCTACTCCTCTAGCCCTTTTTTTGTGTGATATTTTTTTTTTTCGAGATAGGGTCAAACTGTTTGCCCAGGGCTGGCTTCAAACTGCTATCCTCATGATTTCTGCATCCTGAATTAACTAGGATTATAGGCATGAGCCACCCTCCCCCTGGCTGAAATAAAATTCTTTATGTCTGGTACTGCAGAAAATTGTATGGCCCATCCTTTGGGATATGAAAATACCCTAGTTAATAGAACCAAATGTTGTAGTGAGATTTACTAATTACCTGCATACCAAACGTACATTATTTTTAACATTAGGTACTTCTGGCCTAATCATCATCATAGTAACTAACATTTACTTAGCTGCTCTTGCACTTGCACTAATGGCCACCTGTGAAGCAGGTATTGTTACTGTGTCTATTCAGAGGTAGTTCACAGAGGTTAAATACTTTGCCAAGTTAGAGGATCGCTGTGCAGAGGCTTTAATACCTTAATATTTGCTGCTATGAAGTGTGCACTTTAACACCCAGCCTATACATGTCTCAGGAATGTTCCATCAGAGTGATGGAAGAATAATGGAGATGGCCATTTTGCTTTGCTTAGTCACACTGAGCTTAAAGATTTTGGAGTAGTGAGACTTTATTTCTTCTTTACCCTTCAGTCGCAGCCTTGGGCTTCATGTCTATACAGAACCATCTCACTTTTCCCCTAACCCTTACTCAGCTTTCAAGACTTAACTCAAACGCTGTCTTTCTAAGGAAGGCTTTGTTATATCTCTAGATCCTTCCTGGCCAAACAGATAAGGAACAAAGTAATCATTTGTGAACTTTTGCTTTAGTACTTATGTCATTGGACATAATTTGTTAAATGTCTGTCTCTTTCACTAGACTATGCACTACTCAAAGGCAGGGAATGTTTTTTACCTTCTCAGTAACCCCAGAACCCAGTGTGTGGTGGATGTTCCATAAATGCTTGTTGTTAAGCTGAACTGGTGTTGCATCCTGACATATGCCTTTGCTCTGTAAATAATTTTGAACTTTTGTTATAAAATACAACTGAAATCTGATTGTAAATGATCTTGCTCTCTCTGACTGTTTTTAGGTTTGATGAACATCCCTTCTGAGTCTTCCCAGCAGTCCCACACTTCGTGTTCCTATCAGCACTCTCCTAGCAGTACAGTGAGCTCTCACCCACACAGCAACCAAAGCAGCCTGTCTAACAGTCATGGCAGCAGCCTCAACACCACGGGCACTAATTCAGTTGCACAAGTCTCACTCTCCCACCCCCAGATGCACACACAGCCGTCTCCACATACGCCCCATCGACCGCATGGTTTATCACAGCATCCACAGCGTCCCCAGCACCCAGCACCGCACCCACAGCAACACAGCCAGCTTCAGCCCCCTCACACTCAGCACCCCTCTCCACATCAGCACATACAACATCATCCCAACCATCAGCATCAGACGTTAACACATCAGCCTCCACCACCCCCACAACAGGTATCCTGTAATTCTGGTAAGTTTTTGTGTCTGACTAACTGTGAATTAAGATCTGTCCTTTGTTATTTGAGCTTCATACGGTATTTACTACTGAAACCTTTTTTACCCATTTTCTTGCTGTATTCCTAAAATTGTAACTCATTTAATCCATATGTGACATAGAGATTTTCTTGATTAAAATTTATTGGACAACAAATGCAAACTCAGCAACTCTTGCAGGTTTTGGTTTTTAATACTTGTGTTGTCTTTCTTGCTGCTGCTTCTAGTAAGCATTTAAAAGAAGAGTGGAATGCAAAGTCTGATGCAGTATGGTTATAAAAGAAGCACACCTGCTTTTGAATCCCCATTGTGTTCTTTTGACCTTGAAAAAATTACTTTTTTGGCGGCGGGGGGAGGATACTACAATTTGCACCCAGGGCCTTGCACTTGCTAGACAGGTGCTCTGTCACTTGAGCCATTCCCCCAACTTTTTTTGCTTCAGTTTATTTTTCAGATAGGGTCTCATGCTTTTGCCCCAGCCAGCCTCAGACTAAGATCTTCCTACATTCACTTCCTGCGTAGCTGGGATTGCAGGTGTGATCCACCACACTTGGCCTGCTTTTTTAAGATTTTTTTGAACCAGGGTTGTGATATGTAACTTCCCTGGCTGGCTTCAAACTTATTATCTTCCTGCCTTAGTCTCCCAAGTGCTTGACAATACCTGGCTTAAAAATTACTTATTTAGCTTTTTTAAAAGTACCTCATCTATTAAATATGGAGTCAAAATACCAGTATATAGTATTGTAAGGATATTGAGAATACAAATATGAAATGCCTAGACTAATGATTTTCATTAAAGTATTCCTATGTGTTTCTCCTCTTTGCTTTCTCCTGCCAAGTATTTCATCTTGTAGAATGACAGGTTGCAAAGCAGGGGAAACCACTTGATATCCTGCTTTAAAAAAAAAAATTGAGGCTGGAGCTATAGTAGGGTGCTGGCTTAGCATGTGCCAGGCCCTGTGTTCAGTCCCCAGCAACTGAACACAGGACCTCAAAAAAATACACCCCCTCAAAAAAAAAAAAAAAAAAAAAACAGTAGCTGATGCTCTTAAGATAGGTCTTGATGGTTTCTGATGAGGTGCTTAACTGACATTGCTCAAAGGATAGGCAGATGGGCAGTATTTGTATTTGGAACTCCAAGAGGATGCCATGGGCACAGACTGCAAGGTGGAGTTGTAGAAAGTGCAGGTTCTTCCCTCAGCTTGCTTGTCTAACTTCTTACCAGTTATGTCACTGATGAGATTTTTATTCTGGAGGGAGAATTTCTAAATACTAGACAGTGTTAGTTCTTATTCCCCAATTAAAGATTAACCATTGTTTTGGGCACTTGAACTATTGTCCAGAAATGAACTTAGTATATGTTATCTCTTACGTTGTGTCTTTGCTATAAAAACTTAAACTTTTCTGGAGCTGTTTCATATTTACAAAATGGAGAGAGTATAATGTTTTGGAGGGAGAATGAAAGAAGGCATGAAAATGCATAGCAAGGTCCCTGTAACTTAGTTCATCTTTGATAAATGTTAATGTCACACTACCCTGTCTGCCCAGAATTATCCATAAAGTTATTTGGAGCCTTAAAATCTGAAATTAAACCAAGCTTCAAAGTATTTCTTATTACTGTTTGTCTTACTTTATCCAAAAATAATCAAAATCTAATGCATACTTTAAAACCATCAAACAAATATTCCAATTTTTTTTTTGTTTGGCCTTAACAGTTGATTTTGTTTTCCTGGTTACTAATTCTAAGTAGGTTCAGAATAAAATTGAAACGATTTTTTTAGAGAAAAAGTTATATAATAACAAAATTAAACTCTTTTAGGGACAAGTCAATTACTATTGCCTGCTTTTTTATAACAATACAATCTTCAGAAATTTAAGCCTGTTCGGCTAATGACTAGAGATTGAATGTTGCTAAAAGTCTCTGGCTTTAGTCATATCTACCTTTTCATTAAATTTAATGATACCAGGGCAGGGAAAAAAAAAAGTACTATTAATGAATGACATACTCGTGGCAATCAGTTTTGCCAGTGGTAGCTTATAGAGAAGAATAAACTTCCACCCCGGGAAGTTAAGAATAATCACTGTGGTTGTGATAATAATTCATCCCTGTGAATTTCACATTTCAGATTTGTAAGATGGGATTAAGCAGGTTGTCTTTAATTGGTAAGGAATGAGAGGAACAGGAAGGAATGGAAGTTGTTTGAATGTCTCATATAACCAGGCAATATAGATACATTATCTCATATTGTCCTTCCAAATCAAATATAAATTGCCACATTCTATAGACAGAAAGAGTACAACTCAAAGGAGTGAAGTAGTTTGCTCAAGATCCAACTGCCAATTACAGGTAGGACTGGGTTTAACACCAGTTATCTAAAAGGGCTAAAATCAGCAGACATTTATTGAATGGGTAGGGTTTGCCCACCTACTCTTGTCTGCAGAGGTTACTTTATTACCAGGTCAAGGTTTATTAAAGGAGTCCCCTTCCCACCAGCCCCAAGGAAAAAAGTTAATTATGGTAAGAGTGCCCTAGTTCCTGGCGTAACTTTGTTTCATTGGGTTTTTGTGATATCCTGGCCTTTTGACTAACTATGTTATGTTTACTTCAAAATATCTAGATTCTAGTCCTGCTTTGGGTATTTTATTACTAGGTGACTTTAACCATAGGTTTTCTTACCTGGAATAGAGGATATGCGTCTGATAGACTTGAATGTTGTTGTTCTTTGGAGCATTTGTTTTCTCCCCTCCCTCAAATTTTTCCCTTAATTATGAATTGCTTGAGGGTAGGGTCATGTTATTTGTTTTTTTAAAAATCTATAATTGGCAGAATTTTGTAAGTCAAGCAGCCAGTAGTTGATACAACTAAAAGTTGTCTTTGGCTGTAGCAAAGAGCCAGTAGTTCATCCATCTAGGAGTGATCCTAAAAACAGAGTAACTTGGCAGTAATCACCGAATGGATAATTTTTGTCCTCTGTTATAACAGAGGAAGGGCAATTCTTGCCCCATGGCTCCCGACTGGTGGCCACTTTATTGACATAACATGCAATGGAGTCTTAAACTTTTCTAATAATGTCACTCAGAGGATACCATTCCTGACAAGAAATGTCCTGACCCGAATTCACCAGCATTTCTCACAGAAGCTCAATTCCTCTCCTCTTCTACCTTGGCAGGAGGACTATGCTGTGGCATTTTTCTCTCTTTAGATTGTCTTGTAGGAAGCATCTACTCTTGCCATGTGATTTGATCCATCTCTCTTAAGTCAGTGCATTAAGTTATACTGTATTTTGCTTCTAAATGGGAGCCTTCCTTTAGAAGTTATGAAAAATCTACCTTTTAGGGTCATAACAAAGCAGGAAAATGAAACTTTAAATAGGGAGAAATACTGATTTGTATGACTTTTCCTCCTCACTCATTTATTTGTACTGTTCAAATGAAAAGAACAACAGATTTGACTTTATAAAGCAATTTGCAAGTGGCTAACCTAAAGATTAGAAGACCTGCATTCAAGTCTTAGATTCATTGCAGAGATCTTATTAAGTTATGCCACCTCTCTGGGTTCAGTTTCTTTTATTTGTAAAATGCAGAGAAATGGTAACCTTTCTGCTGGTCTCACAGAGCAGATGACCTCAATACCTGATAAAATGGGTACAAGTTTCTTTTAAAGACCAAACAGGTATCAGCTGATGTCAGGAATAAGGGCAGCTCATTGTCTTTCCTTAATCTGTTCTTCAAACTTTCACAATCTAAGAATTACAGTATTGTCAATATTACTTTATAGGTGTTTCAAACGATTGGTATGCAACACTTGATATGCTAAAAGAAAGCTGTCGAATTGCCAGCAGTGTAAATTGGTCAGATGTAGACCTTTCACAGTTTCAAGGTTAGTATTGGTTCCTTTTGTCATATAAACAAATATGATCCTGTCTTCTCTCGAAGATTATAAGTTTCTTTGTGGTAGAAATAAACATCATCTTATGTAAAGGCATATCTTTCGCAGTTGTTTATGTGCTTAAGAAGAATTGTAAAATTCATAATAAAATATTTGCCAGTTGATATAGCAGAAAGTTACAGATGAGATTTCTGAAAGAGATTGGGCAATATTTAAAATAATTGAGTTTGGATAATCTTAAAATATCATTCTTCATTGCATGGATAAATCACTACTGTAATATGAAATGAGCCAGTAGAAATTTTGAGAAATGTAAAAAAAAAAGTTATGTCTTGCTGTTTTCTTTGCAATGTTTACAGAACAGTGTTAACCATATTTCAAATGTTTTCCTTATAGGTCTGATGGAAAGTATGAGACAGGCAGATCTCAAGAATTGGTCTTTAGATCAGGTTCAGTTTGCTGATCTCTGTTCTTCTCTTAATCAGTTCTTTACACAAACTGGCCTTATCCACTCACAGAGTAATGTTCAGCAAAATGTTTGTCATGGTGCCATGCATCCAACAAAACCTTCTCAACACATTGGAACAGGTATGGGCATACATATCTCCCCGATTTTCTCTCTCATTTTATATGAAATTCACTGTCTTAGGCAACTTGGTATGTTGCTAAGGGTGACAGTGATCGATTTACCTCTTTTCATTGTTAAGAACTGAGTGGTAGCAAATAATTTGTATATGGAAGGTATAACTTAGAAAAATTGAGTTAATGGGATTACTCTGTTGTAACTTATATAATTATTTTATTATGTACAATTAATTTTCCTTTGTGATCTTTAATCTTTTATTGTTATCAAGTAAGTAAATGTCTTAAAGCTACTTAGGTTTCTGTAAGAACATAGTTATGAGGGCCAGGTGCAGTGGCTTGCACAGATAATCCCAGTTACTTGGGAGGCAGAGATCAGGAGCATCTCAGTTCATGGCCAGCCCAGGCAAAAAATTAGTGAGACCCCCATCTCAGTCAGTTAGCTGGGCATGGTGATTATGCCTGTCATTCCAGCTGTGCAGGAGGTAGGAAGATCTTCATCTGAAGTCAGCCCTAGGCAAAAATGAGGGGCCATACCTAAAAAAATAACTAAAGCAAAAACAGGTTGAGAGCATGACACCCAGTACTTCTCCCCCTATATCAGTTAAATTTGCATAGATTAAGTCAAAATGTGTTATGTCTTCTTAGGGTATTAGAATTAAAAGTTCTCATTGTTTGGGATCTATAATGAGAATGTGGAAAAATGAAAAGCAATTGGAATTTCTATATGAAAATAAAAGTATTAGGAATGTGACTGAATTTCAAAAGGCTAAGAGTATTTAATGTAGATAGTTGTTTATTTCTATAACCCTTCTCTAATTTCCATCTTCTCTGACTTTAAGGTCAGAATTAGCCATAAAAGAGAAATGCAAAAGAAATATTAAAAAGAAAGATTAACCCCTAGTAAAAATCAGTTTTGTGTTTGGGTTGTGATCGAATCCTAAGGATGTATAGAAAGAGAGCTAAGATTTTGTAGGGTGAAGTCTGGAAAGTTGTTGAGATATGAGTGACCAGTCCTTTTCAGCCATTTGCAGACTTTAGAAAGTACACTAGTAATGCACGGGATTGCCAGTCAGCCTTTGGGGACAGTAATCTCACCCAAGAATACAGTATCTTAATTTTACTTTTTTTCCTCTCCTTTCTTTCTAAATCCTCATTATTATCAGTTGGTCAAAGAGCTGAGTTCTGATTGTATGCTTTATGACAAAAGGCATGCTATCTTGGGAGGCAGCAACAAAGGGTCAGAAGTCTTGGATTCTGCTGGCCACAGAAATAAGGAGGATTACAGTTCAAAGCCAGCCCGAGCAAATAGTTTGCAAGGCCCTATCTCAAAAATACCCAACACAAAAAAGAGCTGATGAAGTGGCTGAAGTGGTAGAATACCTGCCTAGCAAGCATGAAGACCTGAGTTTAAACCCCAGGACTGAAAAAAAAAAAAAGAAAGGAAACAAAAGAGAAAAAAGTCTTGGATTCTGTTCCTGATTCTGTGTCACTTCCTCTCTGGCTCTGTTTCCCCATATGTGTGGACAAAGGTAGAGTTAGACTAGGTCATCTCTGAGACCATCTCAAGCCTGGGCACAGGTCTGACTTTGCCATGGCAGGTGAAAACTTGTGAGCAGCCGACTTGGTGTGTCTTATCGTAATAGAACGGGAAGATTTTTCTTCCATTCTTAGTTTTCTCTGGGAAAATGGTTGCTGCCTTTACAACATTGCTAGAATTCAAGTGTAATTTGTATGAAATACTAGAAACCCTTAGGGAAGTAGCCTTTCCAAAATTCCAGATGTTCCTTAACAGCAAGAAGCAGTTTATGGTCTTTCTTTGCTGTGAGTTACTGGAGAAAGTTCATGTTTCCCTCCCTGTTTTGCTTTATGATACAGTGTAATTGGCATTGTGGAAATATTATTTGATGGCTCCTGTCAATGAAATTACATTAAGAATCTTCTGAAATATCATTTAAATGGACCTGTTTTTCATCTCCATGCGCCAAAATAATACATTTTTAATCACTTTTGCTTGGTTTACCACTTTTACCCTGTGCAAATACTTACTATTATTTTGTGCTCTCAGTCACTGTTAATTGACTAGGGCACACATTGATTAGGCCACTTTCAGTGTGCAAAAGTTAAGATAATAGATAAATAATTGATAGTGAAAAAAACTTATGAGCAAGAAGATCTGGGTTCTAGACCTTGCCCTGCCAAACTCGTATGTCTTTGAGCAAATCAGGTTAGCCTTCCTGAGCTTCAGTTGCCTCATCTTAGAATGGGGGTAATGATTCCTGTCTTGCCTTCCTTTTGTGCTTAGTGGGAGTGTCAGATGAAGTTATGGATATGGAAGTACTTCTGAACTGTAATGAGCTGTGACAACAGCAGTAGACATAACTTGCCTAGACTTTACAGAGAGTTGGTGGCAGCACTGGAATTAATACCATTGTAGTGTGGTTACATCTAGTACGGTACTCTGTTCTAAAGGCCAGCCCTCCCCTCTAAAGTTTTAGCATCTTAAGGGAGTAATTTTTCCTTTCCTCTCTTTCCTCACCTTACCTGCACAGTTTTATCCTAGGTAACAGTTCCATTGCCATTTTATTGTTTGGTTCGTTTTATTTATGGTAACATGTTTTCTCTCTTTCTGCTTTTTAATCTGATTAGGAAATTTGTACATAGACTCTAGGCAAAATCTTCCTACTTCAGTGATGCCGCCCCCTGGTTATCCTCATATCCCACAGGCACTCAACACTCCAGGAGCAGCGATGGCAGGTAGTGTGTGTGTGTCTATCAGGCATGGTGGCTCAAACCAGTAATCCTAACTACTTGGGAGGTGGAGATTGGGAGGTTCTTGATTTGAGCTCAGCCCAGGCAAAAAGTGTGAGACCCCATCTCAACCAAAGGCTGGTGCAATGGCATGTTCTTGTCATTGTAACACTTGAGGAAGCACAAAAAAAAGAGAAAAAGCTTGAGCTGCTTTGGTGATAAATGAGATGCTTCAAGAAGGCATGACTGTGTTAAGAACTGGGGTGGTAGAGAATATTGTTGAGAATATTTGATTTTGACAGGACTTTAGCAGGCTTCAGGAATCTACTTTGATTAGTTCCTGGGGATTCTGCTGTGTTCATTTCAGTGGAGTAACTCCAGCTGTAGTTTCCAGAAGGTTCCTTACAGAAGTAGTAAGTTTTAAGTGTAACTAGTTTGTGAATTTTTCCCCCCTAGGTTCTTGAATGTACAATAAGTCATTTAGCTAGGAGACAGGCACATTGTTAGAACTAGAAGGGATCACTTACATGAGGAAATAGGGGCTCAGAAGGAAAGAATGTGTCCAGGTCACCCAATTTGATGAGTAACCAAACCAAAATTCAAATCCCAATATCTGGATTCAGAGTCTGTTGTTTTTCTCATATATCACAGTGCCCATTATTAGGCTATCTGAGAAAACAAAAGGTAATGTTGAATGGCAGGGGTGCTTAAAATCCTGAAAGAACCATACACCCATCAGTAGAGAAGGAGTTGGGACCAAGTGACATGTCCTTTGATACAGGAGAAGGAATGTTTCTTTTGTGAGCACTCACTATTAATTTGTAGATGGTGTGATATGGTGATTAAGCTCTGGAGCCAGATTTGAATCTTGGTGCTTCACCACTTAATAGCTAATGATGCTGGGCAGGATACGTAATGCTCCTGCTTCAACTTCCCTGTCTGTGAAAGGAGCTAAGAATATTATCTAACTCCTGAGGTTGTTAGGAGGATCAAATGAGGGTTATATGGGAATTACATAAATTAGTTCTTGACACATGATGAGGAAGTTACAAGTTTTTGTTAAAGATGTGGGCATTTCTGCTATACTGTGATGTACTGAAAACTTTAGCATTCTATACAATTGTACACTAAAAGGTTTTCAGAAAAATAGTTGAGATACTTCAAATTTTGTACTCACTGTACTAACAAATTCTACAGTAAAGGGATATGTTTGAGTTCTAATAAAAGAATGCTACAAGTAAATACCAGTCTCTACTTAAAAAAAAAAAAACAACAAAACAGTGAAACTGTTTTTGGAGAAATCTGTCACATAATGGAGACAAGGGCAGAATGCACTGAATTTGGAGTTTCCACAGAGCCAGAGTGATCAAGAAGAAGAATGCCGCAGAGTGGGAGTCTTAGGCTCAACATTCCTCACAGTTTACTGTGGTCCACTGTGTTATGTTTTCTGTGTTCACGTGCTCTTATGTGGTAGGCTAAAAATTAACTCTGGGAAGAATTCAGTATAACCTAGTCTGACTTGAGGGGCACATTGACCTCATTCTCCTGTTCATCATTCTTATGTGAGCTGATTTATGTTACTGAAACACATACTGGAGCAGAAAGACTGTAAAACAAATGGTTGCATCAGCACTTTACTCATGCAGCCTGCATATGCTATAATGAGCATAGGTTTCAGACTCAGGTAAATCCAGTTCAAGTCTTGTCTTGGACCTTTACTAGCTGTATGATTAGGTAATGTGCTCATCTTCTTTTTTTTGAGACTGGTCCTGCTATGTAGCCTAGCCAAACTCACAGTCCTCCTGCCTTAGCATCCCAAGTGCTGGGATTGGGATTACAGGCATGTTACCATCATGCTCAACTTTTTGTTCATTCTGTTAAACTCTGTCCCCTTCCTATAAGGTGAGACTCATAAGAGTCACTTTGTTGAAGGCATGTGTGTGGTTTCATGTGATAATATGTGCCGTCTGATAGCACATAGGAAATGCTTAGTAGGGGTAAGTTCAACCCTTCTCCTCTACCTGGGTTGCTACTGATACTGCCCTCTTCTTTCCAGGCCATCACGGAGCCATTAACCAGCAGCACATGATGCCTTCCCAAGCCTTTCAGATGCGGCGCTCCCTGCCTCCAGATGACATCCAGGATGACTTTGATTGGGATTCAATTGTGTAGGGCTTGTTTCTGCAAAGCAGCAGACCCCAACATCACCTTCCTGTGCAGTGAAGGAAAAGGTTTGAGAGAATCCAGTTGAGAAAACAAAGTTGCTAATCACTTTACCAATGTTACCAAGATTTCATTTGAAGACAATCAAAAAAATTTTAGCTGGATAACCTACTGCTTTTATCTGACCCAAACAAGTACTACATGTTTGTCTCCCTGCCAACTGCCCTATGTAGCTCCTAACTCTTGTGTGATTTGGACGGCTTTTTGCATATTTGTGTCAGTTTGATGTTAACCACAAGTGCCAGACTGATTTTTCAGACAGAGCCTATTTTGCTGCAAGCAGTTTATAGATAGTTATGTGTAAATATATGAACAAACATGACTGAAAGGCTTCAATTTTTTTCTAATTGGATTATTATGTTTTAGAAAGAAAGTTATTATCAGTTTTTATTCCTTGTTAGGCTATTTTCTCCAGGATGCTTTTAATTGTTGGGAACTGAAAGAAAACAGATTTTTCCAAAACCCAGTTTCCTTTATTTAATCTTTTTCAGAAATGTGGGTAATAATGAATTCTACCCAGTAAGACTAGGAATCTAGAGTTTGATACTCTCCAAACAATCCAGAGGGGCATATTGTTCCTGAGCAGCATGAAGAACTGACCAAACTTGTTTTGATGCTTGGGGGATTACAGAGTATATGTTGTACATTGTCAGTGTCTGTTTCCTAAATCTGCAGTGTGACAGCTCTAAAACTTGTTTGACTGATTAGAGCTGGATGTTGCTTGGCTCTTTAAACAAATCAATGCCTCCACATTTGCTTATGTATTTATTATTCAAAAGTGTTATTTTAATATTTATTGCTATCTTCTGTGAACGCTTAGCTCTTATTGGGTTCACTAAGAAGTGTGGTGTCTAAAAGCACAGAATTATTTTTTCTTGATAAGAGTTTGCAGTCAAGACAATCAGAGGGACATTGTGTCATTGTCTTTACCATCACTGCTTTTACCAGGTGAGTATATTTCTCTATCTTAGCATTCCTGCTGATTGAGATGTAATAGTTTTAATAGGATTTTTTTTGGAATTTGAATCAGAGTCCATTTGGGCAACAGAACATCAGAGCAGGGTTTACAAAGCAAGTTTCCTCACATGCCCTTTCTGTTTTAAGTAGCACTGAAAGAAGAGGAGAGTTAGATACCCAGATTTTATTTGCCTCAGTGTTTGGTGCATTTATTAAGTGGCCTGCTGTTTCTTTTCAGTATGTCTGTGTATGACATTTGGCCACTTTCTTTGAAATGAAGCCCACCTCTTTGGAGTTATTATTAGTAGTTTTTGTTTCATGTCATGTCACAGTTACTCTGCATGGGTTGATTATCTTAGTTTTATAATAAAGCTAGAAGGAATGAGATTTTTTTTTCCCTCCTTATGAATAGGGTTTTGTTTTGTTTTGTTTTGCAGTGCTGGGGTTGAACTCAGGGTCTACACCTTGAGCCACTCCAGCAGCTCTTTTCTGTGATGGGCGTTTTCAGGATAGGGTCTCACAGAACTATTTGCCCATGCTGGCTTCAAACCTCAATCCTCCTGATCTCTGCCTCCTGAGTAGCTGGTATTATAGGTGTGAGCCATCAGCACCCAACTTATGAATAGTTTTGAATTGAGTTTTTTAGAGCAAAAATGGCAAAAATCTTTTCAGTTTTAATGGACTAAAAATAAGTTCCATCACATCAAGGAGGAATTACTACTCACTGGTTGCTTATTAGCATCTCTAGTCTCTGTCAGCTATGCTAAATTACTTTATTTAGCCTTAGTGATTCGTTGGTTGAGTAATCTCTACTTGAATGAAACATCTTTGTTTCTGTGTGTGTGTGTGTGTGTGTGTGTGTGTGTGTGTGTGTGTGTGTGTGAGAGAGAGAGAGAGAGAGAGAGGGAGAGAGAGAGAGAGAGTGTGTGTGTGTGTTTATGTAATGGAGTGTTGCCTTGAATCATGGAAGCCAGCCATGGTAAGGGGTGGTGAGATTGGGAAGAAAGGAAGAGCTTTATGTTTCTCTGTTGTTAAGGACCCTTCTTGGCATGTAAAAGGAAGCTCAGTTCCAGCCCCTTGGATCAGTGAAAATCAGAGGATTCTGAAAAGGGAGCCAACAAGGCCCCTCTTAAGGATCAAGGCAAGATGAGAGGGCAGCCTGCAGAGTAAAAGCTTGAAAAATGGGAGAGATTTTCAGTGGTCGTCTCAAGTTACTGCTTTCTAGACACCGAAATAGCTGTTTTGAAACTGAATTGCTTGAGTAGCAAAGTGCACTTTAAAGAATTTGGGTGTTAGAATGCGGTCTCTTACTCTGAATGATTTGAGAACCACTGATGATAATTTTACAAATTGTGTGAAGCTAATTTCCCGTTTGGCAACCATGTACTGATTTGCAGTGATCAATACTTTTATGAGTAAACTTACCAAGAATGGCACTAGAGGCAAAGTCTCCACCCAGTCCCATCCACTCTCCTGTGATCTGTGGGGCCCGGGGCTCAGGGCCCGGGGCTCAGGGCCCAGGACAGGCCTTCTCTGGGACCATGGCTAGACATGGCTAGCTGATGAGGTACAGAGAGTCCCTCTAGTGGTCATTTCTATTTGTAGTTGCTAATGCAGAGCAAGTTCTGTCTTGGACTTAACTAGAGAGTTTTGGGGAAAAGAAGAATAAATGTGTGTAATCAAATGGGGGGCACTCTGTCCAGGAGAATAATCTGACTGGCATTTGTGGCAGTTTTTGAAATGTAAATGTATTCATGTGTGTTCCTGTAAATATGTGTCTCTCAAATGTCCTTTGAAGTGGGAGGGAACCAATCTGGGGATACTTTCAAATGGAATAGAGTATTTTGATATTGTTCATTCAGAGGGTGATGTGTACATATCTATATTGTATATATGTGATGAAAATGCATTGGCTTTTTGTGCAAACGCAACCTGCTCTCTGTACTGCAGTTGGACAGTCAGTGTTTTAATGTTTCTACAGTTTTGCTATTGCACGATTTCATATTCTGCCTCTATGATGAATGGCACCCATTCTTTGTAACTGTTTAGTGCTGTAAAGAAATATTCCAAGTGTCATTAGGATTATTGCTGCCAGAACTGATATGCATGAATGGCACTTAAAATAAATATATTATGTTAAATCTATTTGCAGCCCTGGTTGGTCTGTGTCATTGGCTGCAGTTGAGGAAGTCAGATTGGAGCTAGTCCAGATGCAGGAACTCATGGCCAAAACCCCAGAGCCCTCAGGGTATTTGAGATTATGTCCTATGCATTATGTATGTGCCTTAGAATAGAGCTTGCTACCATTTATTCAGCATCTCACTAGTTCTGTGAATTTGAGAAGTTATTTAATCTCTGAGCTTCATTTTCCTCATTTACACTGCCTGTAAAATGAGGATAATACCCATCTCCTAGGGATGGAGTGAGATTACACTAATTGGTCCACTTAAACATTTAGAACAGCTGCAGAAGCATAAAACATGGTGGTGCTCAGTATGTTCCAGGTGCTAAGTAGGGACTATGACCTTCTCTTTATAGACATGGGGACAGCTTAGGTAGAGGTATATGACTTATCTGGATTCTTTGGTTGGGCAAGTGACACAACTGAGGTTTGACTCCAAGCATCATGTTCCAAAGCAATTCTCTTTTTGCCACCTATTTCTACCCTTGTCCATGGCACTGCCTTCCCAGAGAGCTGTTTCCAAAAGGTGGAAGTGGAGCTTAATATTTGCTGAGCACATATTCTGCTACGCCTCCTGTGAGAACCACAAAGATGAGGAAGCCACAGTTCCTGCTCTGAGGGGTCAGACTTGTCTAGAACAGGTAGCAAATGCCAGCTTAGGGAATCTGGCCAGGGAGGCTACTCTGGAAGTGCTCTCTGACAAGGCAGGATTCTGTTGGTGAGGGGTTAGGTTGTGCTGAGGACCAGGGCAGTGGCTTAGGAAAATCTTCAGCCTGCAGGCTATTTTAGATGACTCTTGAAATGGCCTGGGACAGATGAGAGAAGAAGGTATTTCCATTGACATTGACATTAGAGCCAGGAAAGTGGGAGCTGGATTAGTGTGAGGATTATGGACAGAGGTGGGAGAAGTATTGGGCTGCTAATAAAGGACCAAACACAGCCATTCTCCAAGAATTGTGGTGCCTGGCTTTATTGATACGGAGCAGGCTTTGAGAGGCCCAGCAATGGGCAGGCAGGCACATTGAGGAGGTGGAGTTGAACCTGTAATTAGTCTTGCCTGAGAAGGGGGAAATTCTCACCAATCTCACAGTCTATAAGCAGGCTTTGACTGCTGTAGTTTAACCTATACAACACTGCCAGAAGCATTAATTTATTACATTTACACATGAGAAAACAGGCTTAGAAAGGTTAACTTGCCTGAGTTCTCACAGCAACAAAGAAAAGCAGCAAACAGTTCCAAGCCCACCCCTGACTCCCTGGGAGGGGGGTGGGAAAGCTGAAGACACCATCATAAAGTAAGCCAGAGAGCCCTGCTAACAGACTGGCAATTCTAGCTGCAAGATAAACCCACATCTCCTGAAACCCTGAAACCCAGTGCAGGGATTTAATGAAACAATGACTGCTCCAGTTTGAAAGGCTAGCCTCAGTGAGGACAGTCTGTTGCTCTCCTTATCTGGTAGGGGACATTAATACAGGACCTATTCTCTGGGGGGCCTGAAAACAGTGAACACTCCCTGCTCAGGGAGTCTTGGGACACCTTGCCACAGTGTCTGAATGGGAGTTGGCCAGAAGAGGAGGAGGAGAGGAAGAGGGTCTGATGTGGTCCTTCAAGGAAGTTTAAGCAGCAGGTCTGACAGTGAAGGGCATGGTGGTCCAAGGTCTCACCCTCCCTGGCAAGGAGTAAATCTCATCACCTTAGGCTTGGGCAAAAACAAAGCATAGAGCCTTTGGCTGAATTAGTGTTTGGCTGTCAGGGTCTGTCTCCTGACTCCTTGAACGCTAGGTGGGTCAGAACCCTATGTCCAGATCCTCTGAATCATGTGACTTCCACAGACTCCTCCCAACACAGGGAAGTGAATTGCTGGACAGGGTCTGTAAGCACTAAGACTAGCAGGTAGAGCAACTAGATCCCTCAGTTCTCCCCCAGCCAATGCAGAAATCAGTGCTCTGTTTGCTGTCCCTGAGGACACAGGCAGGGGCGGGGGTGGGGTGGGGTGGAGGGAGTGGAATGTGGAACAAGTGGGGAACCTGCCCAGCCCACGGGCTGTAAATCTCCCTATAACCAACAGCAGCTCCCAGTACACAAAGCAGTCTAGAAGTGGACATCTGACCCTTCTACAAGAAACTCCACAACTAGTTTATCTCCATCTGAATAGTGCTAAGGATCATATCTGGTGT